TGTTTTGAAGTAAAATAAATAGCTTTTAATGCTTATTATAGCGCTTTCCATCGTATCAACAATCTCAAAGCGCTTTATTGCCCGTTCATCAGGCCATGAGACAATGCGGCAGACGATATGAGCGCACATTCGGTCATCTATACTCTCACAGGTACCCATTTATACTCCTGGGTGGAGAGAGGCAATAGTAGTTAAGTGTCTTGCCCAAGGGCACAAACACCATGTTCCTGGCAGGGTTCGAACCAACGCACCATCGCACATGAGTCAAACACCGTAACCACTGGACCATGGCATTCTACAGAAACAGTGCCAAAAGCATGCAATACAGTCAGGAACGGAATGCGATGAATAAGCCTATTTGAGTTGTTATAAATTACACAATACACACAAAACAATTCATAAACGACAGATTCTACGGGTTTTAGGTGAGCAATTTGACCTCAATACATTATCACTCTATAGGAAGTGGGTCGGGGCATAAAGCCGGCCGGCTGTGAGCAGGAAAGCCATTATTGTTTCAATTGAGTGGGTTTTTTTGTATAGAAAAGCCACTGTGGTTTTTCATATACAGACGCACGTGCCAGTACAAAACGAAGTTATAAACAGTTAAAGCAATACGAACAACCTAATTAAAAAAATAGTCATCAATCAGGTAGGATTGATGTTGATTATGTGAAAATAACGATGCCAATGGTAATAACATGTAAACCGTCGACTATTTTCAACACATTTTCCCCATCATTTATGACGACACGACAATTATGTCGCACGTACCAGTGCAAAACGCAGTTAATAAACAGTTCTGCTAGGAAAGCTATACGAAAAACCTACTTAAAAATAGTCGTCAAAAGCAGGTCAGATTGATGGCGATTATGTGAAATAATGATGCCAATGGTAATTACATGTAAACCGTCGACTATTTTCAACACATTTTCCTCATAATTTATGACGACACGTTATTTATGTTGCACGTACCAGTGCAAAACGCAGTTAATAAACAGTTATACTTGGAAAGCAATACCAAAAAAATATTTAAAATAGTCATCAAGCACGTAGGATCATTGATGGCGTTATGTGAATAACGATGCCAATGGTAATTACATGACCATCGACTATTTTCAACACATTTTCCCCGTCATTTATGACGACGTATGAAGCTTGGTTACTTTAATGCTCCAAATTCCCACAGCCTTATGTCTTTCCGTGATGTCTTTCAATCTTATTCCGTCATCTCAGTATCGTTACCCACTCTGCTTCTTCTTTTTCCCGCCATGTTTACAAAATGTGTTCATGATGGATAACTGCCGGGCAACATGAGGACGTTCAAGCAGCCATCTACGAAGTTAATATATGTCTTTATTAAAAGCCGAGAATTTTATAGTGTCGGCATGGTTGATTGAACAAAAAGAAAACAACTAGACGTCTTGAAGTTTGACGTGAGTGTGAAGAGCATGGATGGACACTTGAAACTCAAGCAAAGAAACGTAATGTCCCTGCCGAGTGATGCCTCAGTTTTGCGAACGAGACAGGTACTTGAACTTTGTAGCATGATCTTAGAAATGAACGAATATGAACACAGTCTTAACTGGTTAGGTGTATTATATACACGCTTCTGGAAAGGCATCCTTTGTAACCTTTTCTATTAAGGATAACATGCATGTATGTATACATGTAATAGATAATGATATACAAAAAAATTTCGAGTTTGAATAACTGCATGTTTTTCCTTGATTTCTCTCAATTTACATTTTGTTTCCATTTTGGGTTGAATAGAAAGAAATGTTGCATTGAATCGAATGTATTATGTCGATACAGCATTGTGCTATTAGTACTATTATATGTGCTATTATATGATATAATAAATCGATTTAATAGGCACTACGAAGTTGGATAGGAAAAATATTGTGGCAACCAGCATATACGCATCAATTTTAAAAATAAAAATATTATTTGAACGATGTTATAGGAAGTTTGCATTTGAAGATTATTACCACTGTACCAAAGTGCTTCATAGCAGGGTTTTTTTATTTACGTGTAAATCATTTGCAACTTAATAGTCACTACACTATTTTTAATAGTCACTACGAAGTTGTGTAGGAAAATTATTGTGGCAAACAGCATATAGGCATTAAATTTAAAACAAAAACAATATTTGAACGATGTTATTGGATATTTGCATTTGAAGATTACTACTTTGCTAAAGTGCTTCATAGCAGGGTTGTTTGATTTAAATGTAAATCATTTGCAATATATTTAGTAGTCACTACGAAGTTGTATATGAAAAGTATTGTGGCAAACAGCATATACGCATCAAATTTAAAACAAAAACAATATTTGAACGATGTTATGGGATGTTTGCATTTGAGGATTACTACCATAACAAAGTGCTTTATAGCAGGATTGTTTGATTTAAATGTAAATCATTTGCAAGATTTAGGTCACTTGAAACATTTTTTTTAAACATTCAAAAAAATCAAGTACTGTAAAATTTAAAGAAATCACATGATAAATAACAGCAGCCCCTGTGTTAATACACTACAAAAAATATATGTTCTCTTGTGGATCATTCCATCCAAGTGTGATCTCCTTGTAATTGATATGTTTTAGTTGGCTACACTGTTTCAATTTCCCGGTGCGAATTGTTGAATCATGCATGGATGCAATAACAGTTAAAAGATGGCAAACGTGCCTTCCATCATGGGTCCTTCACTCATGTCCAGTGTTCCATGGTTTCGTTATCAGATTAAATCCTCCAATATAGTATAGCAACACAGTTAATTTATCTTATTTTTAAGAACACATAACTTCTATTAAAAACACAATTCTTTGGGTAAAAAGTAAAATAAAATGCAAAATGAACAGAGTGTAATAGATGCTTCTTTAACAGAATAATACACTGTATTCGTTGAATATGACGAACAACACCTTTTCTCTTACAACGAAAAATATTTTTTTTAAATGAAAATAAATGCTGATCTAAATAATAGTCAAGATTTGTAACAAGCCTGCTACATATCTTGTTTTGTTCTATTAAATTTTATTTACTCAATTTAACTTTATGGCTGTTATTTGTTTAAAATTTCCATTTTTATCTCCACCATTTGTTTTTGTATTTCCACCATTTTATTCCCATAACGAATGGATCTTCTTCGATGCATAACATTTTTCATAAATCCATTTGCTTTTAGGGTCGTTATTTTATTATTATTTTTTTGCATTTCCTCCATTTATTCCCATTTCGATGCATTACAAATTATTGCACGATAGCAACTTGTTTTACTGGAAATGCTCGTTCTGCACTTATGACCATCATTGTGTAACTCTAACTCTAAATTTAAAGCTTAGAAATGTTAATTGTATTATTTTGTTTTCGGACAATATATTATTTTGACTTCGTGAACACTAAATTCACCATCTGAGATACCTGTCATGATTAATGGCGTGGCTTCGGGGGGGGGGGGGTTCGACCATCCCCAATCCCAAACGTTTTGGTGAAAAGAAAATAACATTTCGGAGACAAACAACCGGAAAAACAAAGATACGGGGTAAGTAAAAAAACTGCAATGATACAAAGAAGCCATCTTTTTTGTCAAAACCATGTTGAAGTTTTGAAATTTGTAAACATAATCGTTAGTAACCTTGTGTAAAAAAAGAAAGAAGTTAATTGCATTTACCGTTTGTCTTTTGTGAACCTTTTTACTGTGGTACCTGATTTACGATTTTGTCCACGAGGCGTGTAAAAATTGCATAAGAGCACAATTTGTGTCCCCCAGAGCCGTTCTTTCCATAAGGTCTAGAGCTGGGACATGCACTGCTTTGCAGGGTTGCCAAGTAGAGGGCAGAGCTGCAATTGTGTGAACAATGAAGGACACATGCAGTAACTGTAGTATAGCCCAGAGGAACTTTATATAAACATAAAGGAGTGAAACAGAAAAATAAACCGTGTGCTAAAGTTTAATCATAAATCTGTGTTGTCTATAATGTCTGTATTGTACCGTTTCCGCTCGTATGCAAAATCCTGTTGCCTCGTGGACAAAAACGTCAATCGGGTACCGCAGTAAAAAAAAAAGGTTCACAAAAGACAAACGGTAAATGCAAGTAACTTTGTTTTTTCACACAAGGTTACTAACGAATATGTCATTCTTACAACGTTTAAAAAGTTCAAAACGTCAGCTTGGTTTTTAAAAAAAGATGGCTCATTTGCATCAATGCAGTTTTTTGTATTACTCATCCTGTACTTATAATATAAGGAACTAAACATAACTAGTTTCTGACCTTTAACTTCAACACATCCCTTTTTTTTCGAATTTCAAACTTTTTAAAGGTAAAACCCTACTCTTTTGGCTACGCCAAACACAATGACACTAATCAAAGATGTCATGGCTTACTTCATCGTCGTTTTAACAGAAGTGAAAATGTAATTTGCAGGACGTGTTTCGAAAGCGCTCCGTTTACTCTAGCTCTGAATACATTGCTATAAGGTACCGCCACATCTACGTCAAAATTGTGAAATTTCCATAAAAGAGTCATTTTCTCGTCGTTAAAATTTGTTGTGCGTTGAACCGTATTGTTATGTTTTTCTCTTCACTAAACGTTTCGATTTTTTTCAGATTTTGAACAAATTGTATATTACATGTATATAAAATTTGCAGAAAACTTAGATAAGACACACCTCATGATGTGGCCGTTTCCTCCTTTGTCAGCAAAAAAAATTGTATTTTAAAGTGTAAGCAAGAGAAACACCAAGGCCATTCTACGAAACAATACGAGACACAAGTTTTCATGCACATGTCTGAAATATTACGAACGAAGCTGTTAACCTCATTTCGAGTTCAAGAGTTTAAAAAGTTTTGTTGTTAAACATTGTTTACAGGATTGAAGTTCGAAGGCAATGTGAGCTTCAAGTGAGCATTCTGTCTTCAGAAGTTGCTCGTGATTAGTTCATCATAACTATTGTCCACACTCCTTTCTTTCTTTTTTCTTCCGAAATTGAGACTTACCTGTGTGTCATTCCAAATCATTCTCAGATCGTAGCCTGCTAAGATGTCCGGACGCTGGTTGATGTGCTCCAGAGCCATCTGGCAGGCTGGTAGGATCCCACTCCCATCCCAACCTCCACCGAAGGTGAAGTAGGCACTCAGATAGATCGGTATCAAAGCTTTCTGCTCTTCAGACCGTGTGGTATCCGTGGTGGGTCCATCTTCCTGGGGCACCGTGGCGCTCGCGTACGCCAACGGGTCACTGAGTGTGGGGACGTGCTGGGTGATTGTGACTGGCGACTCGTCAGTCATCGTAACCGGGTCGCTTGCTGATGGCGGGGACACTGGTCCCTGGTCCGTCCCCGTGGCAGTCGCCGGGGTTTGCGTCGTGCTGTCGCTTGGTGTCATCTCACTGGTTGCGGCACTAGCCGAAGAAGTCAACACCGCCAGCAACACACACAGGGGTACAGCTGGAGACACAAACGTCCACATCGTTCACCAATGTCTGCAACAAGTCGACTAGGGCAATACTGAATAACTATAAGCGTATAATGTGCTTTGTGTGATGCTGATGCCTGTCATTCACTTACTGAAGATAGAAGCTTGCGTGCTGTGATTTATACTCACTATAGCGCATGGCGCAGGTGATGGGTACCGGCAACATGACTATAGTGTGGTGTAGGAATATAATGAGCTGAGCGCGTGGTGCGAAAAACAGCGAGCTGTTCCGTAACAAAATACTGACCAAACAACGTTTCATTAGCCCAACCTCATTCTGTATCATGTGTGTGTGGTGCGAGTATAGAGAACGGAGTCTCATTGGCCGAGTCCGGTGTATGTTGTACGTGATCGGTCGCTAGGTTTCTGTGCTCGTTACAGAGGGATATTCTATCCATCTTATTGATAGGCTTCCGGGCAACCACAAGTAGTGTCTGGGGAGCGATTGGTGTCGTCCTTCCTCCATGGTGTTATAAATCGTGCATGATTATTCTATGATTTTTGTGCTTCTCATCCACATGTATATAATCTTAAATTTATGTTTTTGTTATTTGCACAAATTGAAAGTATGGAAATAACATTTTCGTAGAAATGGAATATGTATTGACTTAACCTAGTGAGTATATATTATCTTTGAGATTTTCTCTGCGATACTGCTTTTATATTAGCCTATGATTTCATAAATTCTTTTCAATTGTGTGAATGTAAATATATCATGGAGAACCTGAAATAATAAACTGTTTTCATCTGGCACAACGAATTCTCTCAACAATTTATTGGACATTTTGAGAAATTGAAACTATTTTGGACACTAAATTTTACGATAACGAAAGACTCTTGGGATCGGGAATTTCCCCGTGGTTTTTCCCCCAAAGATTTTTTGCCCTGCAGTAATCAGTAATTTATGCATTATAATTGAATGTTTAAAACGAACTGATGTTGTGTATATAGCTTTATTTCTGTAATATTTCTGAAATACTTGAATTTGTAAATAACCTTCGCCGTCTGTTTCACCAATGCACTTTTTTCCTGATGAGTTTCATTTGTTCAACATCATTTAATAATTGTGATGTATGCAGGGCCCAATTGACACCAATTTTCAAACTGTTTGGACATACCCTGGGTAAAGAAATGGAATAAATAAATAAATAAATTCAAGTGATCTACTGTCACTATTCCGACGTTCCTGGCAGATTCATTATTCTGACCAAAGTGAAAAACAGGTCAAAGGTCTCCCGTTTTAATTCAACCAGAATCTTTCTCCGTTGGCAAATGACATTTTGCATGGTCAAGAAACACATGTTGCACGGATGAAAGGAGCAGGACAAAAGAAAGTGAGGGGCGAGAGTGGAATGCACTCCCCATAAAGGGGGGACGCGTGCAGGGAACAAGGATGAGGGAGAAGAAAGGGGGTACCGGAGTGTGGAACTGACAAATATAAAAGGGAAACAACAATTTGGAGATTGTAAAGCGAAATGGCGAAATTGAGTGAAAGTGAGACGATGCAGTCAAGCTATACAGCTGGGTATATCGTTGCGGCCGTGTGGTCGATTAGTCTGTATTAAGACGCTTCGTCCAGTTTCTCTCCGCTGAGGAAGGTGCAGTAATCAGATGTTGATTCTGATTCATTATCAGAAATGGATATAGGAAAGTGAACGTGCATTCAATTGTTGATTCTTATTCATTTTATAAGAAATGGTTAGGATAGTGAAAGTGCATGCATGCATACAGGTTGTTTCAATAAAAAGGAGACCTAACTTTGAAGAACCAGTATGGACAGACTAAATGATTACTGGCTATAAAACTGGTATCATCTGAAAGCGTAATCTCTATGCTTTTCAGTGATACCTTGTTTACATTTCCAGGGTCATGCATCACTGAGCGCCACTGTCATGAGATTTTGATGCAAAATTGCAGTTGGTTCACTTTCATGTCAAACACAATAGGCATGTTTGCATGAGAATAAGTATTCAAGAAGAAGACACGAGTGCATAAAAGGAAACAAAAAAAACAAGTCGGGTTGGTTTCAAAACTGGATTTTATTGTTTGTCATGAATTTCTCGTTTTGACCAAGCCATGTTCAAAACAATGTGCCATTTTCCCGAGGATTAACATTCAAGCCATTTCACAGACATTTCCGTAACAATAGGCACACTGTGCCCAGTGGTTTTTTTTTATGAAAGTGAACCAACTGCATTTTTGCATCTAATTTTCAAGACAATGATACTCAGTGATGCATGACTCAGAAAACCTAAACACGGTATCATTGAAAAGCATAGAGATTACTCTTTCAGATGATACCAGTTTTATAGCCATTAAACATATCGTCTGTCCATACTCATTCTTTGAAGTTGGGTTTCCTTTTTTTGAAACACCCTGTATAATAGCCAAACCAAGCAGAGATGTCTAGTCTGGTCGTGTTGACGATGAAATTTAATTATCATAGAGGTTTTTAACCCCCCCCCCCCCCCATCACACTGAACTAGTCTGATTCCCAGACCTAAAGATTCTGACTATTCCTGATAAATTATAGGTCAGGCAGCCGCTAGTAATACATTGTATTACCAATACGCGTCACGTGACTAAAACGGGAGGAATGCCTCCTTTTTTCCGAAAATGTCCGAAGTTTGCCGAATTCATTTCGACGACAATCGGATAGCGCCTGGGTATTTAATTCCTATTACATAGGTTGTATTAATTGCCCAATTGCTTATTAAACACTTTTTAAGAAAAAAATGATTTGATAATTAATATTCATTGCTAACAGTGCTATTTGGGTGCCTTACTTTGAAGATTTCAGGTCAACAGAAATATCAAACTGTATTATCATAACTGTATGATGTATGAAGCAAGTGATTTATTTAACAATCTGATCGGAACATTAAAAGCTATAAGTGGTAAAGCGAATTCGGAAACGAAGCCGAGCTTTGAAAAAGGGCCGCCAATGTCTTCATGCCTATTTTTAGCCACGGAGGCCGCCTGACCTACAATTTAGACGTCGGGGGAAATTGACAGGTCAGGGAACCAGACTATACACACTGAAGACGACTTAGAACCCTTCCAAAACTGAAATATTTGACGTTGTGTTTTCGTTCCGTTAGTAGGTGTGCAAGAGACTCAATGACTACTATTTCCTGGATGTGATTTGTGCAAATTACAGTTTACATCACTTATGATTGGTTTTTTTTAATGGAGAATGGAAATGGGACCCTGAGAATAAATAAGGAAGGCTGTATGATGATATCTTAAGAGGCACTTATATCTGTCTGGCTCGAAGCAACAAGATGGCTGGAGGTTGGAAGTTAGTGGAAAGACCTGAATTGCCGACAGCAAAGCAGCTATAGAATGGGAGGTCCTCGGGGCCAAAGGGCCGGGCTATTTTGACCATCTCTCAGCCGGGGGGGTGTTCCCCCTAAAATCTCAGCCATCGAGTGACGAATATTTATGAAACTCGATACAGGCATAAAGCAACTTATCATAAACGTATCCAAGAAATTTCATGACTATAGGTCAAAGGGTTTTGGAATTATAGCTAATTAATTATTCATATGCACGAATGCTAATTCTGCTCTGTTTATACACTATACGTATATGGGCAAATTCAGTTTTCACGGCGCGTAGCACCGGAAATTATTTCCCTGCGCGGCAACCCGTGGTCTGATTTTTATGTTTTTGGTTTCAAAAGATGCGCAAGGCTTGAGGCTAACAGCTCGGGTCGCGAACAATTTGTTTACGAGGCTTTCGTGGGAAAAAAATGGGGGGGGGCAGATTCCCTCCCCCGGCCCCTTTAGGGTTAACGCACCGCCACCCGTCCGCCGGGCCAAGAAGCCGGGCTTGTAATAACAGTAATTTCTTCTGTGTTCATTCAATAAAGATACTGAAGCAGAGCGGCTCTGAATGGCCATGGTGTTGCACTGCTGTGCTGTTTTGCAGTGAAGACCAACCTTTTTTTAGACCCATTCAATTCAATTAAAGCTCACATATTTTAGCCACTTTATCTTTTGTGTCAAACCAATATGTCCACATTAATTATAGTGTATCTGTCTACTCAGAAGTCGTCCGTTAATTTGAACAATTCCAAGGGGGAAATAATGTACACTTACCGGCGACACACGATCCTGCACGGCCGGGCGGGGCCCGTTGACCGTGCCCGGCACGTTCTGTTTACACTTCCTATACAGGACTTTGTTCCCGGAACTTGAGTAAATTTACAGTATACAGTGTCTGCCAGAAAGTGTTTCCTTTTTCATTTTTTTTTACAATTTGATCAGACAGATTGGTAGTGTGGACCCAGCAAACAGTATATCATGAATAGCACCCCTCACATCGTCAGAAAAATAATGAGATTCAGCGCTCTTGTTTCAAATATTCCTTAGCTTGTACAATAATACAAGTTCCCCCCCCCCCCCCCCATGGCAAAATGCATGGTGCGGCGATATTTGTACAGGGTGTCCCCCAAAAAAATGCTCCGCTCTCTTTTTTTTACAAATTCAAGCAAACCTGAATGCATAAATTTTCTTATTATGCATGGTAAGAATGCTATGTGTCTTTGTTGTTATCTACCAAAAAAATGGATCATACTATCAATCCACTAGGGACAGAAATGCTTAAATGTGAACTCGCCTCCATTTGCCAACTGCGCTGGGGACTCAAATCACCAATTTTAAAATGTCGATTTTTGTCAAGTGTGCTTTTCAAAAATTCTACTTGGTATCTATTATGAAAGACCTGTCATCAGTTGTTGTCAATCATACAAGAGAAAACCAACCAACCATGGCATTGTCCATTTATTGGACTTTGACTTAAAATACCTATTTGTAAATCAACCACACGTAACAATTGTGAACAATCAGCCATAGGTGAACAATTGTTACGTTTGGTTGATTTACAAATAGGTATTTCCTTGGCTAAAATTTGGACTTAATATCCCTTTTCTAAAACTGTTCCATTTGCGACGGATCAACTCACCTTGGAAATTCGTAGTTTTTGAGTAAAATCCACATATCTATTTCGTGAATATCTTGCGGAGACGTATTCATCTATAGAAATTGCCCTGTGGAGACGTATACAATCAATTTCTTCCCTATTGTGTGCACGTCTCCAGAGGGCACGGTGTATCAGATCCTAATGTAAGGTTTTTTCCTTCCATTGTGCGCTCTTCAGTCAAATAAAATTGAACAAATCATTGAAAACAAAAATTTTAAATTAATCTTAGTTTAACCATCTGACCAAAAATTCTGCCCTTTCGTCTTTGGATATGAATAATCATACATAACTATAGAGGTACACCTAACGTCCATGGTGTCACCAATT